ACAGGTGCTTATGCTGCTGAGCTAGCTCCCCAGCCCCATACACAGCAAAATTCTGTCTCCAAAAAACAAGAGGAAAAATATATTTCCTTCCTGTAACAGGTGTGACTGTTAACATCGGTCTGTATCATTGGCACCCTATCTTATAAGGATAATTCAGCCCAAAGGAGACAAAGATTACTCAGCCCTCTTATTCTCCCCGATATTTCTTTCATGTTTTTGGGTCTGGGCCACTTCCTCCTTCCAGTCTGTGCTTATCAACTTACCTATTTTAATTAATTGGTGCAGGGTCTCCATGCAGCTCAGACTCATAGTGATCCTCCTGTCTCAGTCTCCCCAGCACTGGGGTTACACGTCCAATTACCACGTCCAATTGCAGTGGCTGGCTTGGGACATCCAGGGTTCTGGGCCGAGCATGGCATGTGGTACCAGGCATCTAACCCAGGTCCTTGGTGCTTGCCAGGCAGGCACTTAGGTCACTGAGCTATCTCCCCAGCCCTGTGCTTCTCTATTTAAAAACAGTGCTGTCCTGGCTCTTGCATACATACCTTTTAAGCTTTCCTTTGACCTTTTTTTTTTGTACTAGGAATCAAACTCAGGACCTCATGCTTGCCAGGCAGGTCCTAGGCTGCTGAGCTATATCCCCAGCCTTTTTTTTTTTTTTTTTTTTTTTTTTTTTTTTTTTAGAACTGGGGATTGAACTTGGGCCCTTGTGCTTGCCAGGCAAGTGCTTATTCTACTGAGCCATCTCCCCAGCCCTTATCCCTAGCCTCTTGATCCTGTTTTATCTTGGTAAATTCTTTTGGTAGTTCAAGCTGGCCTCAAACTGTAATGATCCTCCTGCCTCAACCTCCTGAGGGAGGGCTGGGATTATAAGCATGCATCACATCTAGCCAGTTTTGGTAAATTCTTTATTATTCATGTTCCTGGCCTCTGCAACTGTTTCATTCTGAGGAGGACCCCTTGTGGAACAGAGCAGATCCAGCCAAGTTAACACAATGTATCAACCACTATATCTTAATTCGTAATGAATGGTTGATAATTGATTAGGCAGTTTTATTAAAACTTTTCTCTTTTTATAGTGAAATTGAATGGTGGCAGACATGTCCAAGGAATATTGCGAGGATTTGATCCCTTCATGAATCTTGTGATAGATGAATGTGTGGAGATGGCAACTAGTGGGCAACAGAACAACATTGGAATGGTGGTAAGTGAAGAGAAGACTTCTCTTAGAGATGTAAGAATATGTGTTAACTACCTTATATGAAATGCTTGGATTAAATTGGAGTTGGTCACAAATATAAACATGGGAATATAGCTCGGTACAGCACTTGCCTGGCAAGTTCCTGGTACCAAAAAAAGAAATGTAAGCATTACATGCTACACACATAATACAATAATTTTTTAAAAATCCAAATAAACATACATGAACCCTCCCTAAAATAAATAAATAAATTGGAGTTACCTATTAGAAAAAGCAAGTAATGGGGCCAGGAATCTCTTTGGCACAGTGCCTGCCCGGCAGGTGTGAGGTTCTGAGTTCAGTTGCTGGTCCCCAGTCCCCGTGCCCCCCAAAACAAGTAACGGGCCTGGTTTAGTTTAACATAGTCATTTAGCTGTCATAATATCCCTATTACTTCTAGGTAAGATCTAATTATTCAGAAGCTTTTAAGGTTCTAGGGCTTGAAATCACTTATGGAAATCATTTTTTCTTGCTATGTTGCTATATAAAGTGACACATCGGTTCACAGACTTTATTGTTTCTACCACTCTGGTCATAAAAACAAGTTGGATGAGAATCGAATCAAATTCAGTGATTTGGTTGAATGTTGATCTTGATAAAGAAATTCGATTAGGTTTGGGACCAGAATCATAGAGTTGAGTTTGTGAACTGAGGTAACACAGTAGGTTAGGCTGGCCTTGAGTTCATGGAGATTGTCCTGCCTCACCCTTCTGAGTCCTGGGATTACAGGCTTATGTTACCACACCCAGCAAGAGGAAATCATTTTGAGCTTTATAGTATTCTGTAAGAGAGTCCATTGTCAGACCATTATTAAGGTTACAGTTGTTAGACATTAACACATATACAAATCTGCAGCATATCTTGGTAATCTGCAACTTCTTATGCAGGAGGTATAGGGTAACTCTTGAGATTTTGATAATATGTGCAACATTTCTAATCTGCCCAGTGCAGATCGGCAAGTTACTTTACTTTGTGTACTTAGTTAACCTGGATTTTTTTAGTGTATTATCCTGCTTTCCTAGAATTTACTGCCTTTCCCCCAAATGTAGCTTTTATCTAACAAATTGCTGGTGTCATTGGTTAGTATTCAAAGCCCTCTAAGGTGGGGTGTCAGTTACCTTTGCTTTTTATTTCCCTTTATGACTTTTTTTATTTTTTATATTTTTTTTATTTTTGCCGGAACCGGGGATTGAACTCAGACCCTTGCGCTTGCTAGGGAAGTGCTTATTCCACTGAGCCATCTCCCCAGCCCCCCTTTATGACTTTTTCATTGCATTTAAATTAGATTCATTCTTTATACTATATCTTCACCTTAGCTTTGTCTACAGTTTAACAGCTTGATCAAATTCTACCTCATTTCCTAGGTCCAGTTACCATGTTGTCTGTCATATGGCCTTTCTACAACTTCCTTCCTGGTTTATATCCCCCAAAGTGGCATATTTTACTGTACCTATTTTTCCTATCAGTTTTTAGAGCTGCCAAGGATAGGATAGGCATGTATGAGTCTTTTTTTTTTTTTTTTTTTTTTCAGAATCTGGGATTGAACTCAGGTCCTTGTGCTTGCCAGGCAAGTGCTTACTCTACTGAGCTATTTCCCTGGCCCCATAAGAGATGGTATTATTTTTTCTCTTTTTTTTTTTTTTTTGGTACCAGGGATTGAACTCAGGACCTTGGACTTGCCAGACAGGCGCCTATGTCACTGAGCTATCTCCCCAGCCCTACATGTATGTATGAGTCTTGCCTTTTTTTGGTACAGGGTCTCGCTTTGCAGCTCAGACCTGTAGTGATCCTCCTGTCTCAGCCTTCCCAGCACTGGGATTACAGGCATGCACCACCATGCCTGGTATGGCACAGGGCCAACACAGCATTCTGTACTGGGGATCAAACCCAGGTCCTTGTGCTTGCCAAGGCAGGCACTTAGACCTAGCCCAAATCCTGCCATTTAAAAGGCAAAACAGTCACAGTGACTCCGCATCTGAAAGTTAATTATTAGCCTTCAGTATACATGCTATCTCTCCTAAAGGAATTAGTCGCTTCCTGTTGTGATTAAACTATTTATTGCTGTCCATATGGCTTGAAAAAAGCCTCATACTGTTGTGTAATACTAAACAATGATTTGGTGAAATTATATAATCATTGATATGTCTATTTACTTTTTCCTAGGTAATACGAGGAAATAGTATCATCATGTTGGAAGCCTTGGAACGAGTTTAAATAATGACTGCTCAGCAGAAAAATTCATGCCCCTCCTCCAAGTGCTACTTTCACTGACTGAAGATTGGGTCATACACATTTTCATATATTAAATTTTTGTTAAATAAACTTTTGTAATAGTCAAAAATGCTTCCTCAGATATTCAGTACAAAAATAGAATATGAGCTCTTTCTAAAATAAATTTTCTTGGCAAGATGAATTTTAAAGGTTTTGTGCAGCCAGACAAGGTAGAGCCCATCTATAATCCCAGCACTCCCAAAAGCTGAGGCAGGAGGATCTGAAATTTGAGGCCAGCCTGAACTATAAAGGACTCTGTCTCCAAAAAGGGGAAGTTTACTTTGAGGCTTTATACATTGGTAGAATTTTACTAAATTGAAATAGCAAGGATGTATCTTTTCCATCTTTCAACACAACAGAGAGAAATAACTTGCAAACAAAATGTGATAGTACATGTGTTTAAAGTTATTTAGGAGACTAGTAAAGGATGATTGAAAATGAGTTCAACCAGGCATGGGGCATACACATAATCTCAGCACTTGGGAGTCTGAGGTAGGAGTATCAGTTCAAGCACAAGTTCAAGGCCATCCTAAACTACACACAGCAAGACTGTCCTGGCTGATTTAACAAAAGACCCTACCTGAAAAAAAGGTCTGGGGATTTGACTCAGTAGTAGAGTATCACTCAGTTTGATCCCCAGTGTAGGAAAGATGCAACCGGAGTGAATTTCTTCTGAAATAACTAATTTCGATCTGTGACTTTTTGGTTTTGTTTTTGGTACCAGGGATTGAACTCAGGACCCTCCACTTGCCAGGCAGGTGTTTATACCTCTGAGCTATCTCCCCCAGTCCCTGATCTGTGACTTTTTTTTTTTTTTTTTTTGGTGGAACTGGGTTTTGAACTCATTACCTTGCACTTGCCAAGGAAGCACTTATTCCACTAAGCCATCTCCCCAACCCCTGATCTGTGACTTTTCTAAGGCTATCTTTTATCAAGCATTCTGTGGACTAGAAGTTTTAAATTCTAGGATACTTATATACTCTTAATCTCAGTCATGGAACCAAGTCTTAAAAGTGAAATTAATGTTTTATCTACACCTTATCCACATTGTCTGAGAGTATAGTATTAGCTTGCATTTTTACTGAACAGTTACATGAGGATGCGTGAAATTTCCCACTTGCGGCATTAAGATTTTAGAGTATTTCACTATACACCTACGCAAGGCACTGCAACAGAATGAAACGCAGAAGTAATGACAGCTGTTTATTGGCAATCAGGAATTTTTCAAGAATTAGAACAATTTTAGAGAAACAGCATGTTGTGACTGAGTATTGAGAATGTAGCCAAAAGTATGCTCATCTAGTTCATAGATTTGGTTTTTGGCTCAAGCTCAAATGAGATGTTACCCATGGTTGTAATACAAACCTCACTTTGAAAGCGAATGCCTAGCAGCCTGTCATTTTTGTGATCTGTTAAGACCCTACAAATCTATTCAATTTAAAAATGGAAAATGGTGTATATACAGGTGAGCTTGTAAGGTTTTTTTTTAAAACAATGATGTGTATAAAGTATTTCCTCCTCACAGAAAATGTTTACACAGGAATGACTGATCACAAGAACTGATGTTTTAAGTCCAGTACATTTTTATTCTTACATTCTTCAGCATCTCTGTATCTTCACAGATGTTGGCTGCCCAAGTGTAGTTCCTAGAATAGTAGCATCACATGGGAACTTGGTAGAAACGCAAGGCTTTTTTGTTCTTTTGAATGCTGGAATTGAACTAAGCACCTTACAGTTGCCAAGCATGCACTGTGCTGCTGAGATATTCCCAGCCCAAAAAGCCAATTTTTGTATGCCAGTATAATCCTGTTAAGTAACAAATCCCAGGGTGGGACCCAACAATGTTTTAATCATTCCAGGCAACTCGGATGCATAATCACCTGGAACAAGAGTAGAGTTGGCTCTTGCTTGGCCCCGGCATCACTGTATTTTTCCTTTCATAAAATTGTTCTTTAATGCTGCAGTTACAATAAAACTACCCAATATGCCTGGAGTAGAAGGTACTAGTATTTTTCTCCCCATTTTTTTAAAAAGGATTTTTAATACTGTAGTTACATTGAAATTACTGATCTGATGGCTAATAACCTGTTCGGGTTTTAAGAAAGCATTTCAGATACCCTAATGGAAAACTGGATCAGAATAGGTCTGATGTAAAATCAGCAACACTTTAAGTTGGTGATTTTATAAGTAAAAATATATCCCATTGCAAAACAAGTTTACAAATGATAGAAACTAAAGCATTTCATTAGTATTTACCAATATTTACAGTAGTCCTTCCTATCTAGTTTGGCTTCCCATAACTTCAGTTACCAAACCAACCATGGCTTAAAAATATTTAATGGAAAATGCTAGAAAACATAAAAAATACCTTATATTCTGTTTTTATGATTAGATACTGTTAATCTCTGGCTGTGCCTAATTTATAAATTAAACTTTCTCATGAGTACGTATGTACTGGAAGAAACATAGTACATAAGGGGTTCAGTACTAAATTTCATCCAACCCCTGGATGTACCGCAAAATATCCCCCCTGAGATAAGAGGGACTACTGTAGTATATATAACACAGCATATTAGTCTACAAATTGACATTAAAACCAGAAAAGGAAAAAATATATAAATACCTCTTCACACACTTGTTAAAACTATTAAAGAGCTAACCTTTTGATAAACTATGAATTTAATTCCTGCCTATCAAATATATCTTGGCAGTTTTATCAGTATATTATGTAATAGTCACAACTGGACTAGGGAATAAATTTTTATTGAGTCAGTGTGCGCTTATACCGTTTTCCTAAAGTAACTACTAACAGTCTGATAAAGGAATCTTTAAGTGACAGTGCATGTTAACCTGGTGCAGTTACTGTCAGAATTCACAAGATTTACCTGTTCTTTGCACCAGTGCTATAATGGTCAATCATGACCTTTGTATGGCAAACATAGAACTTGTTTTTCTCAAGTTTGGCTACATAAGGGAAGCTCCGAGTCCTTCAACTGATTCCAACGTGCAGGCAAGTTTGATTTCAGCAACCACCTTCAAACTCGCATACTACAGCAGCTGACGTATTTAGCACTCCAAACATCCTGGATTTAACCACAGTTGGTATGACTATCCTGCCAGCTACTCCCTGGCTAGAGACCTTGCTTCTGCTATTTAGACAGTCAGTGCTTCTTATGAAGATTACTGGAAAGTTCTCCCTGAGAATTGTTCCTTGTGAAATAGATCTGCTTTGATAACGGTTTGGGTTTCTTAGGACTTCTAAGGCACTGAAAGCCCTTTGCAGATACTTTACCCCCAGCTCCAGAGTCTCTTAACTCTGGCTACACATTAGAAAGCTGAGAAAGCTATAATGTCAAGTTCATATTCTTAAACCATTCAATCCCAATCTCTACTTGTGTGGGCCTATCAATTTTTAAAGCTCCTCAGGGGAAGGCTTAATAGTAGAATGTCAATCTCTTAATTCATTAGCCCATATCTGCTTTCCATTTTCCTGGAGATCTTTGTATGAAATATTAAGATTTCACCCATAAGACTTCTGAATTTTCCCCTAATAAAACAGTGGCAAATGAAAAAATAACATCCTCAAAGTCCAGGATGAAAGATAGGTCTACCTGGGTCAAAGGGTGTACAAGGCTGACAGACAGCCTCAAAACATCAATTTCTAAAGTAGTTTTACCTGAATAGAGATCATATCCAAATGTGAAACTTAAATGAGCCAGTCCCCAAGAATGTCTTTAAATTCTTCAAGAGTTCATCTTGCCCAGCTATACAATTTTGATCCACTTCAAACCTACTGAATCAGAATCTCAAGAGAAATGAGACTCCTCATGTTTGGGTTTTCTGTGTGTTTTGTTACTGTTTTTGAGACAGGATCTCACTAGGTAGTTCAGGCTGGCCTCCAACTATCAATGATCCTCCTACCTCAGCCTCCTGAGTGCTGAGTACAGGCATTTGCCCAGGTGTTTTAACAAGCTCCAGGTGATTGCTGTGATTACACAAGGTGGGAAACACTGCAGATGGATATTGCAAGAGCAGGTAAGAAATTCTGGAGGTGTCCTAATATGGAAGTTATCCACTGAACCTTGCATTTGTTTATGACCCATAAGGGTTACTTAATTAAATGACAATAACAGCAAAATATCCTATTCAAAATCATCTCTGAGATTCAGTAATTTTCTGCAGGTGATACTCATAGGGAACAAGGAGGGGAAGAAGGGAGTGTTATTTCACAGCTCTGTTTTAAGTTTCTCATACAGGCCATCTTGGTCAATCATGTCTGCATGCCCATTCCAGCGGTGATAGGCGAGGAGAGCCGCATTGTAGCCTGCAATGGCGCTCATTTCCATGGCACTTGCAGCAAACTCTATGCCATTGACATAATACAGCCGGTCATGAAGTATGATGGAGGGACATTTCTGTGGGGGCTTATAGAAAGGATATGCGCGCCAGGTCTTCTTCACTGCATAATCATACGACAAAAAGTATTTCATAATCTGCTGTTTGCTAAGAACATCTGGGGAAAATATCTTCCAAACATGTTTTCCATCTGTTGATGACCGACGATTTTCCTCTTCTTTTACAGGGGATACAATACCAATGCTGTTAATGAACAAACCTGAACTATCAGTGACCAACACTGTAGAGAGGCCAAACTGATCTGGGGCTCGCGAGCTAAACACAGTTGAATTCAATTCTCCCTTAATAAGAGTTGTCACTATTTGTTGGTAGAACTGATCAAATTCCTCAATTGGAGGATCAAAGTTGAGAAAAGTTATGTTGGACATTTTTTGATTCAATGGAGTGGCCACCAAGACGATGTCATAAAAGTCAGAAAGGGTCTCAGATCCAGTTTGGTAGACTACTTCATACATCTTGGTAGGATTTCCTAATGGGAATAAAAAGTATACATTTCTTTATACTTTTTCTAACATTAATGTGTTTCTAACATTGTACTTGATACCTTCTAAAAATAATTCTTGCCAGTTGTGGTGACTCACACTGTAATCCCAGCATTGGGGAGGCTAAGGCAGAAGGACTGTCACAAGTTCAAGGCCAGCATGGGCTACAAAGTGAGTTTAATGCCAGCCTGAACCACACAGCAAGATTCTGTCTCAACAATAACAAAATATATAATTGTTTCCACTTGTAAGCAAGTGGCCTGAGCTGGCCTATAAAAATGGTTCCCTACTCTGACCCAGAAAATGCCACAAAACCATGCAAATTAAGAGGCTCAGGCTGGCCAAATAGCTCAGCGGATTAACGCATCTGCAAGCAGGTGCAGGGGCCAGGGGTTTGAACCCTGGGCCTGCCATGCCAGCCCCCTCCCCGGGGGTGCACTGACTGCTGTTGAGGCTGGGTGTGGTGGCATGTGCCTCGCTGTGGAGGCATGTGCCTGGCTGTAAACAGGCGGATCACTGAGTCCAATCTAGTAGTGATACCCTAAAATAACAATAAATTAAAAAAATAAATAGGCTCAAATCTTGGCCACATGTGGTAGTGCACACCTGTAATCCCAGCATTCGGAGGCTGAGGCAGAAAGATTATTGCAAGTTTCAGACCAGCTTGGGCTACACAGTGAGCTCAAGTCCAGCCTGAACTGCACCATCTCAAAAAGACCAAAAAAAAAAAAAAAAAAACGCTCAAAATTTCACGTTCGGGGCCGGGGAGATGGCTCAGTAGAACAAGCGCCTGCCTGGCAAGCGCAAGGGCCTGAGTTCAAGCCCCGGTTCCACAAAAAAAAAAAAACTTCATGTTCACATTAAGAACACCCATAAAACTTCCCAGCGCATCAAGGGAAGACCACCAGTATCTGAAAAAAATGTCACTTTTAAGAAAGTAATGTGAGGGCCAGCCAAATAGCTCAAAGGATTAAAGTGCATGCAAGCAGGTGCAGCAACTAGGAGTTCAATCCCCAAGCATGCCAGGGTGTGCTGAGACGGCAATTGAGACTGGGCGTGAGGGCTGCGGAGATGGCTCAGTGGAATAAGCGCTTCCCTGGCAAGTGCAAGGGCCTGAGTTCAATCCCCAGTTCTGTTTAAAAAAAAGAGAGAGAGAGACTAGGCGTGGTGGCACGTGCCTGTAATCCCAGCACTTAAGAGACCTTTTTTTTTTTTTTTTTTTTTTGTGGAACCGGGGATTGAACTCAGGCCCTGCTTATTCTACTGAGCTATCTCTCCCCAGCCCATAAAGAACTTTTTTTCGGTTTGTTTGTTTGTTTGGTACTAGGGATCGAACTCAGGACCTTGTGCTTGCCAGGCAGGCACTTAAGCCACTGAGCTATCTCCCCAGCCCCTTGGGAGGCTTTAAACAGGAGAATCACTATGAGTCCCAAGTCCAATCTAGTAGTGAGACCCCAAACACCCTGTAGACCATTCCCTAAAATACAGGGGAAAAAAAAAAGCAATGTGGGGCTACCGAGATAGCTTAGTGGTCTAAAGCTCCTGCTTAGGCAAGCTTAGGTAAGCACACAGGGACCAGCCAGCCACAAAAAAAAAGCAATGTGTGCCACTCCTCTGGTACAATGGTGGAGTTGGTAGGTGTACCCAGACCAAACACAGGGTCAGCAGTCCAAAAGGCGTAATAAAACTTTCGCTGGACATGTTTAAAAATGCAGAGTAATGCTCAACTTGCAGGTTTAAACACAGATTCTCTGGTCAGATTCAGATGAACAAAGTACCCAAGATACCCCAGTGCATTTACATAGCTCATGGCCGGATTAACCCATACATGAGCTCCCCCTGCTACAGGGAGTTGATCCTGACTGAAAGAGAACAAACTGTTCCTAATCCAGAGGAGAGGTACAGAAAAATAAACGACATTGTCAAAGAAGCTGAAGAAACAAAAAACTTATGACATGAGACTAAATTAAGCATAAAATAAATACAAGGTTTAAAAAAGGTAACTGGGGCTGGGGAGATGGGTCAGGGGTATAAATGACTGCCAGGCAAGCATAAGGTCCCTAGTTCAATCCCTGGTACCGCCAAAAAAAAAAAAAAAAAGATAACTGTTCTTTGCAATTTTAGTACACTGAGGACAATTTCCTATTCAGAGTTCCAATTAAGTATAAAATGTAGAACTTTTACTTTTGTGGATGAGACTATTTTTTTTTTATAGTTATTTATTTATTTATTTAGTGTCTGTGTGTGGCCATCTCAGCCCACCAGGGGGCGGGGCTGGCTGGCATGTGGTGCTGGGGAATTGAACGGCGGTCCCTGTGCTTTGCTAAGCTTGTTCTAAGTAGGTGCTTTAGACCACTGAGCCATCTCACCAGCCCCAGGGTTTTGGTTTTTTTTTTTTTTTTGCTTGTTTTGGTGGAACCAGGGCTTGAACTCAGGCCCTTGCGCCTGCCAGGGAAGCGCTTATTCTACTGAGCCATCTCCCCGGCCCCCGAGACTATTTTTTAAATCCAGTCATGCCATGTACTTGGGCACGCTTGAAAATATTTGTATATGGCAAAACATATGCAATATGTAAACGTTTCCTCATCTTAGAAGTGAGTGAGAAATTCCAAGATGAAAGATTTTTTTCACATATGATCATTTTCTACTGGGGTAGTTAGGAAAAAAAGAACTCAAACTCACCTGTCAACTTGGTCCTTGTTTTCTCCTCAATAGACATTACTGAGCCAGATATTAGATTACCTTTGGAAGCCTTAAGAAGCCCTGAGCAAACAACTTTATTGCCACCTTCTACTGCCCAAAGGCCAGAATCAGCACCTGTCATTGACACTGCCCCTGTTAGCAGGAGAAAAAAAAATGTTTTAATTTTGACCTTGTCAGAGGCCCAATCCCCACTGTCCTCTCACAATCAGCTGACTCCAGATGTCTCCAGACACTGACAAATGAGCCTTTGGCCCAAATCTTGCCCAGCTGAGAACCCTTCCCCTGAAAAATGTACATCTACAAACACACAGTGCTACTAATGTCTGAGCCTTGGAGAAAGACAGCTTTCCCCAACCTCTGGCCCAGTCCGGCGCTGCTGAGTCATCACCTATGTCCTTTTTTTTTGAACCAACATCCACAACAGTATCTTCCCTAGCTCACCTACAAAGGCACTGAGGTCTGTGCTTTGGCCGTAATTGACCTTCATGACAGGAGAAATCATTTCCTTGAGGAACTTCTCCGAGAAGCCTGCTTTCTGCAAGGTTTCCCGAAGTGTGTGGTTAAGCAGTCGGAGGAAGTCATCCCCTCCCACAGCATGTAGCAATTTCTCTACACTGCTGAAGGCATAGTCATGAGACTGGTAGCGGTAGATCCTATTGAAAAGAAAAGAAAAATGGCCATTAAACACCAAAATTTGGGAAGGGGATACAGAAAGAAAGATCATAAGCTCCAGGCCCTCCCTTGTCACCCCCTTTTGGAATTGCACTGTTCTCTGCACACACTCTTCCTTTTCTGCTTTCACGTAGTGTGCCTTGGAGCACCTTTAAAGAAATGTCTATGTCTTATTCTGTATATCTTCTATATATACTATATCTTCTTTTTTTCTGAGACAGGGTCTCACTATGCAGTTCAGGCTGGCCTTAAGCTCACTAGATAGCCCAGGCTGGCCTTAAACTAGCAGGAACCCTCCTACCTCATCCTACTGAGTGCTGGGGTCATAGGTATCCACCACCTCACCCAGTTCCTTCTTTGTATCTTCTAGCAACACTTATATATGGCCAACATTGAATTTCATTTTCCCAAGTTTTTTTATTTTGGTTTCAGGAATAGAACTTAGGACCATACACTTGCTAGGCAGGGGCTGTGCTACTGAACTGTAGCCCAACCCCTCAATGTTTTAACTTTGCCACTCACCTCATACCCCAACCAAAAAATAAAGGGCCAGACCAAGGGATTGGGAAGGGCGATTTGCAAAAAAATAAAGATGTTATGTACTAACTCCCTATGATGCCTTCATTTGTGTACACACATGAACTAATGAAAATTAAACAACACCCCAAAAAGGGGACCAGTCCAAACATCCTTCATGCCATCCTCAGTTTATTTATTGCCAAAGCTGGATTGCTGTTTACTACTTTCTGCTTCTCCCACCCAAAATGGGGACCTTACTGATCTTCCTCATCTATCTTGCTTATAACTCCATTCTCATTCCCTTCATCTTTTTTTTCCTAATGTACTTGGTACAGGGTCTCACTATGCAGCTGAGACTCGGAGGGATCCTCCTGTCTTCAGCCTCCCCAGTGCTGGGATTAGAGGTATACACCACCACTCCTGGACTCAGTGGTGAGCCCCAGGGGTGGGGCTGGGGGATTGAACTCCAGTCCCTGAACTAGCATAAGCAGGCTAATCTGCTGAACTACCTCGTCGGCCCTCATTCTCCTCATCTTAATCTTAGTGAATAACTGATCCCCCTATTCCTAGCTTATTTACTTTGAAATATTTTTTAATCTCTGCAAAGTTGCAAAATACTTATTTTCTCTTCTGTGAATCCAAAAACAGTCTTGCTTACTAAATGAAGTTAAAATCATTTAGCCTTACTTATTCTTTTAAAAGAATCATGGCTTTTAAAACCAGATTCATCAGCCAAGTGTGGTAGTATACACCTGTACTCCCAGCAGGCAGGAGGATTGCTGAGAGTTCAAGTCCAGCTTGAGCTAAAAAGTAAACTCAAGGCCAGTCTGAACTGCATAGTGAGATCCTGTCTCAAAAAGACAAAAAAAAAAAAAAAAAAAAAATTTTTTTTTTTTTTAAAATGAATTTGGCATGCAATGTGTTAATTATTGTAACTGTCTTAACAATTTGATTTGAAACTGTTTCATTGCTATTTGTCTATCAATAAAATTATGGAAAAAAGAATGATAAAAAATAAATAAATAAATAAAATGAATTTGGCATTCAGCCTCACTACACAAGCTCAACTCATAGTGATCCTGTATTCACCCTTCCCTGCACTGGATTACAGACATACACCACCACAACTGGCCTCAGTCATTGTCTCAGCAGGCCCTACGGCAGGGCCAGTGCTGCATGCAGTACCAGGGATCGAACCCTGGTCCCTGTGCTTGCCTAAGCAGGTGTTTAGTCCACTGAGCTATCTTGCCAGCCATAAATCTATCTATCTCTTCTGTTGGGAAGGGGAGGTTGTTCCCTTTTTTTCTTTGTATTGTTAGGCTGGGCTGGTTCGGGAGGGAGGTGGTTTTGTTTTTTGAGATATAGAGTCTCATTATGTAGTTCAGTCCCATCCTGAACTGCCCATGTCGCCCAGGCAGTCCTCTTCCCTCAGCCTCCCAAGTGCTGAGGACACAAGGGTACACCACCACACCTGGTTGTACCTCCCTTGTCATAACTTCATAACTGCAGGTACACACACACACACAGAAGTAAATCAATGGTCTCCATATTTTCTACAAAACATTTTGCCTAACAATCTTATAAATAGGACTTGCAGCTATCTAGAGCACTGCTCCAAGCAACTATAATTCCTAAAGTTCATCAAACAAAGCTTTTTAGGTGAAATGGAAGGGGGAAAAATTACCTCATGAACTTGTCTAACACATCTTCTACCCACATATGCATTCGGAGAGTTTGAAATCCGTAGTGCCAAACTAATTTAATCATATTTATTATAAACCAGCTGCTCTCTTCAAACACCATAGTCTCTCCATTGTACACCCCCACAAGGCCACCTGAAGCTGGAACCGTGGAGAGACCTGAAAAAACCAGAAAGGGTAAAGGATGGCTAAATCCAAGATTTCCACCACTGGTCCAATGAAAGAAGGTAATACAGGAGAATGTCCCAGGCACACTCCACAGTGAGTGAATTCTTCGCTTTCCTTTTTCTTGGGGGACCCATTAAAGGAGTTCTATCTTTAGGACAGTGCAATATACTCACTGCACTATCCAAAGTCAGACTCAGGAGGTGGGGCAGAAGCTCACATAGCTATATTAAAATTACAAGGCTATTCTTAGTCATGGAAGAAATGATACTAATATGGGACTGTGGTACAAAGAACGTGAAAGGTGGGTCCTATTCAGATCATGTTTTGCAAACCTAGGTACTTCAGGTACATTGAAAGAGGCCAAAATTACACACTATTGCCTGAGGAGTCAGCAAGGCCTGCCAGAGTGCTGCTACAATCTGTTCAGCTCTTCTGCCAGCGTGGAGGGTGGCAGTCAGATGTCCTGAGCACTAGACAGCCCAGCTCTGTATGAATGACTTCAAGCCTGACACTGCAAGCCTCTGGGCCTCCTTTCCTCAGCTGTAAGATGAGCATTCTAAAGTTTCAGCTAGCTCAAAACAGTCTCTGATTCTTAACACAAACCCAGAGGTTTAAGAATTCACAACAGCAGGCATCCTCACCCTACCCCATGGCTGTAATTCCAGATAACTAAAGATACAGAGAACTAGTGTCCTATTACAAGAGAATGGCTCTTAACTAAGCCAGTACCAACTGTCAACTAGACATGAGGGAAAAGTTTTACCAATCCTCTGTAAAAGATAATCAACATGACAGAAAAATTCTATCTCTCCATATAGCAAAAATATCCAGGGATGCTCAGAAACGTGCCTAGCTCGAAGACCAAAATTACATACCAAGGTCTTTGACAAAACGCTTCATGTGCAGATTTAAAGGATGGATGACAGAACCACCTGCCTCATAATCTTGCCCTTCGATCTTCAGGGTGGCCAGACGGCCCCCTACCTCTTGTCTTTCAAACAGATCAATTTTCACATCTTTCCCAAATTTCTGCCGCAGATAATAGGCTGATGAAGTTCCACCAATTCCTGCACCGATAATGGCTGTGAAGGGGAAAAGGAAACAGTTGTTTTCTCTCACCACTATGGATCTTATTTTTGAAAGTCCACTAATAATAGAGGTTATTCAACCATTTAAGGAACAGTGGGGTTGGGAAGAGCTGCTTTAAAGATAAAATCCCTGCTCCCAAAACTGCATATTGATAGTAGCTCACTTATTTTTCCCAGATGGCCAACGATTCTCCTTAGGGTTTTTAAAGGTGCCAACAGGCCATCACCCTCTTCGCGGGACCCAAGTCATTGAAAGAGACGAGGTGGGCCTTCCCAACACACATTTTAATAAAGTGGCCGCCATTTTCGCCTAGGTCCTCTTTTGTCTCGGGGTAGACTCGACGACCAGGACAGGTTAATGATCCCAAAGGACAGAGCTTTCACTGGGGGCGTGGGAGACCCGGGGGCCAAAACCCAAAGCGACTGAAAACGAAAGTCAACGGATTGTTAGGCCAGCTACAGCGGTCCCAGGCAGAGAAACGGTGCAGGCCCGGGCCGCCCACCACGCCAACTCGGCGGGGCGGGGATGGGGAGGGGGCGCAGCGCGCGGGAGCCGCACACTCGCCGGGCCCGCTCCGCCGACCGCGGGGCGGCGTCGGTCGCGCGCGCCGGACCAGCTTCCGCAGGTGCAACGAAAGGAAGGCTGGCAAGAGGGACCCTCACGTCCCGGAGCCCAGCCCAGGACTGAACTGCGGGACGCTTGGTCCCCTCCCCCGCCCAAGCCTCTGAGCGGCGTCTCTCCAAGCCCCGGAGCGCACGATCAGGTCCTCGGGCAGCCCGACTGCCACTGCGCCCCGTGCGGCGCCGCCACCTTTGGCCTACCGATCTTATCCGGCGGGGCCCTCAGCTCGGCGCCCGCGAGGCATCCCCAGCTGCACAGCAGCAACCCCAGTGCCAGCAGCCCCGACTCGAGCTCCGAGCGCGCCATGGCCTCTCCAAGCGCCGCAGACGCCTCCCCGCTCCCCGCAGTGCCCAGCCTCGGCGCGGCTGCGCGCGCCCGCCCCGCCCAGGCCCCAGCCCCGCACCTTCCGCCCCGCCCCTGGCCTCCAGCCCCGCCCTCCAGGGCCCCGCCCCCAGATCGCCCGCCCTCCGCAGCTCCGCCCCTGGGCCGCGGGTCCCTGGCACACCCGTCCGCCCGAAGCCCACCCTCTTTCAGAAGAGATGCACGTGGAGCCCCAGCTGCCCTCCTGCCTCGCCGACGCTCTCAACTCAGTGCCTTCTTTCGTGCCCCTCGTAGTCCCCTCGTGGCACTGTCTCAGAGAAGGCGCATAGCCAACAGCTATCAATATGGGCCAAGGGAGCAGTCACTAAGTGATCCCTTTGTTCTAGAGACTCTTGGGCTAGAGATGAATGGGTAAATGGTGCTAGGTGAAGAGAAAATGAAGGAGACTGAAAGTTGGGCCCTGCAAAGTGAGGGGAGGGAATACAGCGATGGACAAGAATAAAGTAGTGCCTAGAGGAGACCAAATGTGCCACCCCAAAAGGTGCCTCTGGTATGAGAATTACTTTAAGCTGAAGGCAACTGAGAAGCAGTGGCTGCAAGAAGAGCTCTCTGCCCTTCCCCATTTGTCCAAAAGTAAAACACAAATTTACAAAAGCAAAATGTTCCCTCCTCCACTTTCAACTTGGGAGGACAGGAATTAATCAGTGAAGACAACCTTAGATTTTTTTAATACAATTTATAGGAAATCGTCGGTTTGGATCAAGCCAGTGCACCTCACCAGGACGCTGAAACTAAGTTACACGACCTTCCAAGAAATCGGGAGAGAGATACAATAACCAGGTCTCCAGACAAGTCAGTTTTAGCCGATACAGTAAGGAAGTTCCCCTGCTTAGTACCTAAAAAGACCAATTCACTTTTTGTTCTCTTTTTTTTTTTTTAAACCTTATTTATGTGTGTGTGTGTGTGTGTGTGTGTGTGTGTGTGGCCTGCTCAGCCCACCAGGGGGCGGGGCTGGCTGGCATGTGGTGCTGGGGGATTGAACTGCGGTCCCTGTGCTTTGCTTAGCTTAGTTTGTTCTAAGTAGGTGCTTTAGACCACTGAGCCATCTCACCAGCCCTTGTTCTGTGTCTTCAATCCTAAAACCTTTTTGCCAATAAAATCAGTCTCCACTGTTCAGCTCACAGAAAGTCTACTTAACAGGGGGGCTGGGGAGATGGCTCAATAGAATAAGCGCAAGCGCAAGGGCCTGAGTTCAATCCCCAGTTCTGCCAAAAAGAGTCTACTTAACAGGGGGTGCTTCCTAAACCCAGTTGGGGAGCATAGCTCAGGGGTGGTGTTTGCCTAGCATGCCTGAGGCTTGATTCTCAGGGCACATACACAACAGCTACAACAAAAGCTAATGGAGACTTAAATGTGTGTAATATTGCCTTTTGATAGACTTTAATCAACAGGATCAGAGGAATTCAAATCACAAACTTTACCAAAGACCTTTTCTCTACCCTTTCTTTGCCTTCTCACAATCTGGCATCTCTTTTTTTTTTTTTAATCTCTAGAGATTAAAAATCCTTTTTCTTTTCTTTGATCTTTTTTTTTTAATGTATTTAGTACGGAGTCTACATGGCCTCACTACATACATCGGACTCATAGTAATCCTCCTGTTTTCAGCCTCCTAAGTGCTGGGATTACAGGTCTGTCTCAATCGCTATTTCAGCATGCCCGGGAGCGGGGCTGGCACAGCAAGCAAGGGATCAAACCCCAGATGCTGCACTGTGCCTAAGCAGGCACTTCAGTCCACTGAGCTATCTGGCCGGCCCTAAAAATCCTTTTCCTTAGTCTTGTCATTTCTCTAAAAATTAACCACTTTATGGAATATATTGTAAAAACCTGAGCTTGAAGTCACCACTTTGAGATTTACTCATTTTTCTGGGTAACTTCCACATATATATGAAATACAAATTGTCGTATTTTTGTTTGTTTTTCTCTTAATTTGTCTTTTCTTATAGAGATCTATTCCAACAAAAAACTCAAAATTGTGGGATGGGGGTTGTTTTGTTTTTGTAGTGGTACCAGGGATCAAACTAAGGACCTTATATGCTTGCCAGACAAGCACTTGTTCTACTGAGCCATCTCCCCAGCCCAAGATCTCAGAAAATTGGATATACTGCATACAGATACTATACTGACGCCATGCAGTAAAATGTTATTCATACACCAAAAGGAAAGTCCGGCCTATAACTGTTGTTCTGATACTATTAGCTGGGAAAAGCTAGTGGGTGAGTGATGAGCATAGCATGATCCACTTCCGAAAATACAGTATTTCTTCCCAAACAAAAGAAGAAAATACTAAATGAGCATAAAAATAATGGAAATGGAAGAAAATTGAGTTGGTTACAACGAAAGGTTGAACTTGCAAATACAGAGTAGAAAATGTTAGGTATGGACCCACCAGGCAATCGAAAATGTTGGATATGGACCCACCAGGCAATCAACCAGACCAGGCGTTCTGATGTGAGTGGATTTATTGGGGGCTTCAAGCAGGCTGGTGTCTAGCAGACCAAGATAGACTGAATAAAGGGAGGACAGGAGACTTTATAGGATCTTTTAGGGAGGGTGACTGTGGGCTGGACCAGCCAGGTTGCAGATGGACATCATTTATCTTTCTTGTGGTTTAATTTTGTTTATGTCAGAAGGGAGTAAGCTGAGACTAACATGGGTCAAGGGGAAGTGAGCCAAGCCCAGAGTACAATGTGGGACAGGGTTGGGATTGAGATTGGTATAGGTTACCTAGGAAACTAAGGGAGGGAATGTTTTGTTCAAGGTGCCCAGGAAACTTTGAGTCCTGACCTATCAGAAAATACAGAACAAAAACCATTCATTCACTGGTAAAATATTTGAGTTCACTGTAAGTAGCAGGCAATGGTCTGAGTACTTGTGAAAACCCAGATTTTAAACATTGCCAGCATGATGGCATGTGTTTGTAATCTCAGCACTCAGAAGCCTGAGGCAGGAGGATGGCCATGAGTTCGAGATCAGTTTAGGAAATATAGTGAGTTTAACTGCTAGCCTGAACTATATAGTAAGACCATGTCTCAAAAAAAAACAGTAAATATGAGCCCCTTCCTGGAAAGTGCAAGGTCCCAAGTTCAGTCCCCTGTACTGGAAAAACAACAACAAAAAACAATAAATAGACCAGATATGGTGGCACAGATCTGCAATCCCAGCATTTAGGAGGCTGAGACGTGAGGATTACTGGGAGTTCAAGGCCAGCCTGGGCTATAAAGTGAGCTCAAGGCCAGCCAGAACTGCGTAGTGAAACACTGTCTAAATAAATAAATAAATATTTACCCTAACAAAGCCATGTTCTAATGGGGGGGGGAGACTGATAATTAGAATAAATAGGTAAATGGTATAATATAGAGAGTGGGGTGAGAAGATTGGCAAAGGAAAGATGTTTCGACTCTACTGGGCTCTGCCTGATTCCCGACCTCCATGAGGCCAGCAGCTGTCCTCCACCTGGGCCCTTCCACCACGCCCTCCTGCCTCAGAGCCAGTCAACTATGGACTGAAACACTTGGTCTCCATGACAGAAGCTAGGAAACTGTCTATCTGTGCAGGGAGCTGGTTCCATGAACTGAAACTCCCAAACACAGTTTGTCACTGTGACCCAATTAGTGACCAAACCAATGCAACACCATATGTTGTAATAGCACATATCAAAGGAAGGGACGTGGCTAGGACAAGGGAACTAAGGAAGGACAATCTTTAGGTGAAGGATTTGTCTTTTGTTGGCCCTGCAGAATGTCACAGATGAAGAGGGACATCAGACTGTGCTACATCAGGGTCTGAAAAAAGCCAGTGTTTCCCTGGTTGGCAAGCAAAACCTCAAGCTTGGAACCTTTGGACTATCTGAATACAGAAGTATGGCATGAGCTTTGCAAAAGCATCTGTTACCACACCTTATTCTATATCTCCTGGACAAAGCAATCGTGTGTCCTACAAGGAGAAATCAGATGTCTGGTCACAGAGTCATGTGCTATATGAATTAAGTGCATTAATGTCTCCATTTAGGGTTTTCTTTTTTTTTTTTTTAATTTTTTTATTTATTTATGTGTGTGTGTGTGTGTGGCCAGCTCAGCCCAGCAGGGGGCGAGGCTGGCTGGCATGTGGTGCTGGGGGATTGAACCACGGTCCCGCTAAGCTTGTTCTAAGTAGGTGCTTTAGACCACTGAGCCATCTCACCAGCCCCATAGGGTTTTCAACTAAGAACTAACTGGGAAAATCAGAGAAGACAAATTTAAGCCAATCCCATACAGTTACTCTGTTGAACTGAATGGCATTATTAGGAGGATGTTGGATTTAAAAGATGACCATCGCTTCTATTGGAGAAATTGCTGAGCATCCTTTAATAGCAGACTTGGCTGCAGAAGAGCAAAAATGACATCTTGAAAGGAGAGGATTCCAGCCTGTATTGAGCTGTATTGAAACTGGAGAAAGTATAGTGGGGTGAGAGGGAGAGAGCCCTCAAAGTCCAGGAGGAGAGACTGGAACGGAAGGAAGCTGGGTTTCCTATCTGAGAGAGAGACTAGCAGAGGACAAACAGGCCAGAGCAGAGAGCCTGCCAAAGTGCTACAGTCCCCTAAGGGAACAGAAGCTCCTGTGTTTGGCAAGTAGCTCTGAACTTCTTGATCCTCCATCCTCAGTGATAAAAAAAAAAAAAAAAAAAAAAAAAGTTTGGGTCTGGGGAGATAGCTCAGTGGCACAAGTGCCTTCATTTCACTGGGGAAAGACAAAATACTGATGAGTGAGAGAACTCAGCAGGTTCTTCTTCAAATCCAAACACAAGGATCTGAAGAAGAGACATTGTGCGCAGCTGCTGGCTCAAGCCTACCAGATGCTGAGAAGAATTCTCAACTAGGGCCAGGGAGATAGCTCAGCAGCATAAGTGCCTGCCTGGCAAGTGCAACATCCTGACTTGGATCCCTGGTTTAAAAAAAAAAAAAAAAAAAGAATTCTCAACTAAAAAGCAGAAAGCTGCAGGGCTTGTGCTAGCCTAGCAGACAGACACAGAGCTAGGTGGCCTGTTCCATATTATTAACTTTTAAAGACTGATGGTCAGGCATGGTGGCACCTCTCTGTAATCCCAGATCTTGGGAAGCTGAGGCAGGAGGATCACTGTGAGTTTGAGGCCACTCTAGGCTACCTAGTGAGTTCAGTGCCTGCCTGGGTTAAATAATGAGACCTTGTCTCAAAAAAGAAAAGAAGAAAGAGAAATAGAGATTGATGTTCAACTACATTCTTGGTTTCACCAATCATACTTTCTGTATGATAAGCATGATGTTTTAGAATTGCTTTTGCTATTTTTCATCAAAAATTGTACAAGATGTCCACATTTTCACTTTCTCTTTCTTCTTTTAAGAACATTTTGTAGCCAGGCATGGTGGCACATCCCTGTAATCCTCACATTCAGAAGGCGAGGCAGATAGATCACTATTAGAAACCTAGGCTTACCTGGGCTAGTGAGCCACTGTCTCAAAAAAAAAAAAAAAAAGAATACTTTGTTACAGTATGATACTTTCTGGTTGGTTGGGCTTTTCATGTGGTATGTGGTTTCCAGTAGGAATATGAAGTGTGACATTCTCCAACCTGGGGCTGAGGGGGAATAATGTTAAGGAAAAATATTCATCTAGGAGTAGCTTTTACTCAGATTTAGATAAGTGAAGGAAGGGGCTGGGAAGATGGCTTAGTGGAATAAGTGCTTCCTGGGCAAGTATAAGGGCATGAGTTCAATCCCTGGTTCTTCCAAAAGTAAATAAATAAAATATAAATGAGTGAAGGATGAATTTGTAACTACTATTATAACTTCAGTGAAGTTTTTTTTTTTTTTTTTTTTAACAAGCAGAGTGTATTTATTGAGGGAAAGAAAGCTCCTGTTCAAGAGAGGGACAGGAGGTGGGTCTGAGCAGGTAGTCCCCCGGGAAGTGTGGGTTTTTTTAACTGATCATACAAGGTCTCCCTATGTAGTTCAGGCTGGTTTTGAACTCACCATGTAGCCCAGGCTGGCCTCAAACAGGCATGTGCCACTCTGCCCAGTTTACCTAATAATTATACTTCATATATGTGGTAATATTTTTCCTCATGATTTTTTCCAGCATTTTCCATTTCACTGGCACTATTATTTTGAAAGGAAAGGGTGTAGAATGAGAAAGCCTTCCTCCTACCATTTTCCCCCGTATTTAGGACAGGGTCTACAGGGTCTCACTAAGTAGATTGGACTCGTAGTGATTCTCCTATTTTCAGCCTCACAAGCCCCGGGATTACAGGTGTGTGCCACCATGCTCAGTCTCAATCGCCATCTCCGTGCACCCTGTGGGTGGGGCAGCACAGCACACCTGGGATCAAACTTCTGCCGCTGTGCTCTGCCTAAGCAGGCACTTTAGTCCACTGAGCTATCAAGCCAACCCCAAACTACCATTTTTGCAAATAGTTAAAACTATTTCACTGAAATGCTTCCTTGTTCAAAAAACTGTTTCCGAAAGGTTTCAGTATCAGAAGTCAGTTTTGAGATATAACCCTCAGGTCAAAAGTCACTAACTGACACACTAATTTCAGTTAATCAACAAATATTTATTGAGGGTGCTGTATATTTAATAGACTCATATGGGTATATGTAGTTGGGTGCTGTGGTTTTTCTTTTCTTTTTTTTTTTTTTTTCTTTTTTTTTTTTTTTTTTTTTTTTTCAATACTGGGGCTAGAACTCAGGACCTTACACTTGCCAGCCAGGCACTTATACCACTGAGCCATCTCCCCAGCTCTTAGGCATATGTAGTTGGAATGGAAACTAAAAACCATGGTTTATTTTTTTTCTCTTTCTTATTTCTACATGTAGTGAAAATGGGAATTAAATCTCCTTATTTATATCTTTTTTTTCCCCCCCAGAACCGAGGATTGAACTCAGGCCCTTGTGCTTGCCAGGGAAGCGCTTATTCTACTGAGCCATTGCCCCGGCCCCTATCTATATCTTCTTAAGTATAAGTGTCTATTTCTGGCAGCATTGGCATCTTCATCCACAAAACCTTCACACCCTCCTGGCTCACTGTGTTCCTTTGGGCTCCAAGTAGCCTCTTAGATACCCCAGGGCCTGGTTTGTTCGCACTTTCCCAACATAGCTGCGTGTTCTGTGCCCTTACTTCTTCTGTGTTTTTGCTCAAATACCACTTACACAATGAGGACTACCTTGAGCATCCTATCTGTCTATCTATCTATCTATCTGTCTATCTACCTATCTATCTGGAAAATTTAAGAATTATGCTAGGTGTGGTGGTGCACGTCTGTAATCCCAGCACTAGGGAGACCAAGGCAGGAGGCTTGTTGTGAGTTCCAGTCCAGCCTGGGCTATAAAGTGAGCTCAAGGCCAGCCTGAGCTGCCTAGGAAGACCCTATCTCAAAAAGACAAAACAAACAAAAAAATAAGTGAATGAGTAACAAACAGTCAAATAAATGTTGTCCCAAAAAGTCCCTTTAGGAACACAAGCAGTGAAGACTGTTCTCTCCTGACCAAACTGGAACCAGGTTCCTCTGGCCTATATACAACTATACAAAGCTTTCCAGGCTTGGTGGTGCGCACCTGTAACCCCAGCACTTGAGAGGCAGAGGCAGGAGGATGCAAGCTACTTTGAAGCCAGCCTGGGCAGTGAACTCAAAGCCAACCTGAGCTACACAGTGAGATCCTATTAAAAA